GGTTTTATAAGCTTTAAAGATGAGCAAGAAAGGTCCCCAGTTTCATTTTAATCCGATTTCATTATGATCTGCCACATGTATTACATTTCACTAACGCTAATATATAATAATCACATGACGCAGTAATTTTTCATTCGCGATTTATACGATGACCAATTTTTTTCGCAAATACCAATCCATTATAGTAGGATCAATATTTGGAGTAGGAATCGGCCTTTACGCATGGCTTCCGACAATGGAGCAATATAAACGGTATAATTAAGAAATATAATACCAATAATTGTGGTTTTCAGATAATTAACATTATGTTGGAAATCCACCAGTGAAGGAATTTTTGAACAACTTATGTTGCAAAAATCATACGACAAAAACAACAATATCACAATGAAAGATACAGCTATAAAAGATACAGATACTGCTAACTCTAAACAAGCAGTTGACATAACAAGCTCTTGATAAAAGGTAAATATAAAATTACGTAAATTTAAATCTTGTTATTCAATATTTGTGTACTAAAATAATAATAATAATAATTAATTGCTATTAACTACGATATGAAGACATCTATCAGAACTATTAAAGTAAATTGTACCTCAACATCATCCATAGGATCCTCAGATTGCGCCTTATATTGCTGTACTTTTCGTTCTATTCGTTTGTTTGGATGCAGATTATGTTCCATAATGTACTTGTCGCAACCTGAATAATAATTTCGATTAAGAAATTACATATGACTTGGCCTTATCAATTCATGGAGATGTAAGTATAATTACCGGTCATTGGGCATGGGACAGAATTCATATTACGCCTTATTAACTGCATGATGGCATCTTTTGAAAATGTATGTTTACACACATTACTAAATAAAAATTAAAAAGTTTAATATAAGATATTTCTTATTGAAAACGTCGAAAACATGTGTTTATAGGAGATACCTTGTAACTGGTTCTTCCAACAATAACGTTGTAATCGGACAATATAAAGATTCTTTTTGTTTTCCCATTACAATTTCATCATCGGCTTCTTTATCTAGTGGAGGCATGGTTTCATCAGGATGGTTAACATCCTGTTCAAAGTTAAACATTTTTCATGAATTATCTTGGTAAAATTTATGTGTATGAACGTTGAACGTTACATAGATATTATTTTAATACCCAAATTTTTTGTCGAAATTCGATATAATTTTCATTTTGAAAATATTTTTCATTCTCGGATTTGGATTCGTACTTTTTTAAAGCATCATCCAATTGTGACTCATAATCCTCCACAAGATCCTATTGAAGAATACTGCTCTTAGCAGAAAATTTGATATAAAGATTCACTAAACTCTAAAATATACTTGCAAATTTATGCCCCGCATCAACCTTAATTTTAAGAGTGTTAAGTGCGGTTCTTTGAAAATTTATTCGATTATCTAGATCAATATAATCCCTCACAATAACATCTAATTGATTGAGCTAAATATATGTAATAAGCGTGTTTAGACTGAATGAAGCAGATCAGCTGTTTCCGGGTAAAGAATCTCATTTACCTCTTCTTGTTCTTCAGCCTCTTCAAGATCAGTTGCCGCTTCTGTTGCGAAAGTAATCCCTCGTACGGCAAATTGCGACATTTCATTGAAATCTCTAAATAAACTATCGAACTCTCTTCGTTCACTATACTGAGATGTACCCAGTGACCCTCGAGAACGACTAGACGACATGTTTGAAAATGCTTTGATAGACGAACGCGTTATTTCATATACACGCGATATATATAATAACTTTCATTTTGAATCTGTGTAACAAGGATTGTTAACAATGGACAAATTAGTTTAAAAGTAGAGATTCAATTGTTATTCAACAAAGTTTATTTCATTTAGGTACTATATACATTTTTTTGCGTTTAATTTATAATGAGTCAAATGAGTCAACGAAATTCAAATGCAAATTCAAGAAGTCGATAATCTCAACAAAATTTGGGTCCTCTCGCTACTCCCCAATAGGGATGTAATCGGCTTGGCTTGACTCATGAAGTTACAGCCAAAGCTTAACCATCAAGTTATGACTATTATAATATGGCTTAAATTATAGCCAAGACATAGTTAAGCTAAATAAATTAAGCTATAGTTTAGGCCACGGCTAGGGTTGTTAATGGAGTAGCGTACTCCAGAGCAGCTCTGGAGTGAGCTCAACCAAAGTTGGAGTTAGATATGCTAGAGTGAACTGGTGCAACTTTAAGCAAATCTAAAGCGGCTCCGGAGTGAGCCCAACCCAAGCTGGAGTGGGTTGAGAAATAGTCCCTAGCCACGGCTTAATTAAACCATGGCTTTAACTAGCTTAAATTATAGCTTAAGCTACTGTATAATCCAACTTTAATTTTAATTATAACTTATATATGATTAAATATATTAATTTTGTAATATACAGTATATATATATATATATATGTATGATCATTTATTTAATATCTTCTCATTGAATAGGTCATTTCAGGTTGTTAATTCAGCTTAGCTTTGTTAGGCTTGGTTTAAATCTATGGTTAAAGTGACTTTTCGTAAAGCTAATAATATCCTCATCAATATCATCCAGTATTCTGACTTCTCCACCACCACCTTTCAAGCTTCTATCCTCCTAACAGGTAGAACATACACATTCCATAAATATTTTCGCGTCACCTATTCTCGCAAGTTCTCCATTTACGATGCCAAAAGTATCGAGTGATGCTTCTTATACATGCCGTAGAAATTATTTCGACATAATTTCTATCTGAATTTTTGCATACAGCATTGCCTAAAGCTAAAATTTATGCCGCAACTAATGGTCAATGCCTAAAGTCAAAATTAATTAATGTCATAAGTGCCAAAAGTAGTAAAGTATAATTGATATATCCCTGATTTTGATGTAGTGATAACAGCCGGACGACCACCGAAAGAAGTATGGAATTATATCCAAAAAGAAAAACGCAAAGATCATAGACAGTATTGAAATTTATAACAGCAATTATTTCTGTGATTTAATGCAGTTGCCTTTTTAATCGGAATTTATCATATTATTATAAAAAACCGTCTGTTGAAAAATCGTCGGAAATTGTCACATGAAAACGGAAATCTCCGGCATTTTACAATAAGATTTGTTTCGGATTGCAGCATAAATTATGACTTGCGGCATAAATTATGGCTTGCGGCTTTATCTCTGCCAAAAAATCGGTGCCTAAATACTTTCGGCACAGCTACAACTAATTTCTACGGCATGTATAGTGCTTCTAGTTTGGAAGAAAAAGCGCGACAATGGAGAAATGACGCTTATTTTAAAAATTTGTATGAAACTGCTGTGTTTTGGGGAAGTAAAGTTATGACAATGACAGGTACAATATTTTATTAAGGATAATCATTTAGCCTCAGAGAATTCGTTTTATATAAAATATTTCTCTTAATAGGTGACTTGAACGACGTGCTTTGGTTGGCGCAAGTATACTATGACATGGGTCAATATGTCAAAGCGCAAAGCTTAATATGGAATCTTGTAGATTCGAGCATTGTGTGTCGATATCTAGCCGCCAAATGTTGCGTGAGTATGAATTGATCAGCAAATGTTCCATCGCAATACGTTAGCAATGTATTATCAATTTCGTCTTAATTTTGATAACATTAGCACTCGTTAAATGTTACTTACACTTAATTATACAATATCATTTTTAGATTAAAATGGAAAAGTACCAAGAAGTATTAGATATTCTTGGTGATGAAAATCCATTTCTTGATAGAGGTTCGTCGACATGTAACGAAAAAAAAAAATAAAAATACATATTAAAACTTATATATAAACGTGTAACTTTGTTTATAGATTATAGTTCTGACAAAAACACAGAAGGGATCAGTGTGAGCCTTCATAAATAATCTTGTGAGTCATATATAATTTTATCATTTCACTAAATATAATTCCCACTGTTCCTGCTTGCATTAGCTTGAAGCATCCATTTGCTATCTACGTGGGGTTGCATACTCTCAACAGTCTGACCTCGATAACGCTAAAAAGTGGTTTAAAAAAGCGTTGGAAATAGATGTTAAATGTTTTGAGGTGTGCTGATGTCTCTTATTTAATTTATTTTTAAATCAGTAATTTTAAAAAATGTAATTTATATAGGCATTTAATGAACTAGTCATAAATCACATGATGACAAGTAAGGAAGGTAAACTCAGCGCGTAAACATTTGCTTTCCGGTGTATCTAAACGTTTATTAACTTGATTAAATTATTCAATTATATATAGAATGGGATTTCATTCACTCATTAAAATTCGATGAACAATTAGAATGTGAGGAGGCCCATTTTATCAAAATGAATTACATATCAATGCTGAAAAAGGTTTGCTATCCATCCAAACATCATTAGATCTTTATTTGCAGGTACAGTATTTTTCACCGTGTTTGTTATATGTTAAATAGTATGAACACATAACAGAAATTCAAGAAGCAAGATCTGAGTTAGAGAATAAATTTCGACTATCAAACAATGCAGATATATTATTAAGTCATGCAGATGAATTATATACTCAATGTCGATTCAAAGAATGCCTTGAAGTCACGACTAAGTATATATTTAATGGATATTTATTGTAAAAGATTTATTTCTTAATATTTTAATTTAAAAAAAAGATTGCTTGAACTTGATATGTACAACCAAGCGTGTCTTCCTATTCACATTGTATGTCTCCACGAGTTGCGTGAGAAAAACAAATTATTCTTGTTTGCTCACGAACTTGTCGAACACTCTCCGGATAAAGCTATCACGTGGT